AATACAAGATTCAAAAATCCGTATAATGCACCCTCATTTTCTACCTGGAACCATCCCCAATAAAAAAAATTAAATTTGAAAAGCATTTTTTTTTTCAAATTTTGGGGTGGTTCCAGGTAGAAAATGAAGGTGCATTATACGAATTTTTAAATATCATACCTACATCAATAATCCCTGAAAATTTGAACAGCTAATGCTAGCCCTCCAGGAAGGGGGTTGTTTAAATTTCAACACCCTGTATTTTGGACTTCCGACCATCGGTGTCCTATCTCAAATTACTTCTCTATGGTTCCTACACTATACCCTAGCATTTTTGACCAGGGGACACCTTGTATAAGCTATCAGACTAACTGAAAAAAAAGATCCTCTTCTTTAATTTGACCGTTTGAATTTTCATGAGCTTGATAAGGTATTTTCAGTTCACTTGAGTTGGAGTTTCAGATTGTACCTCGGTAGAATGGGCTTTTTCACTTATTTCTGAAATTGGCAACTGAGAATAGAATTTACTGCATACTTACTGTTGAAAAATTCATGGTCGTTTTGGAGGAAACAGATAAAAATGAAAACTCTCCAAATAAAAACACGGAATTCTTCCGTACTACCTCACAGCTTGCATTTCGTCACAGTGTTGCTACTAATTCTCAGAATTGGAAATTTGTAATATATTTAATTCTGAAATGTCGGCAAAATACCAAGAAAAATAGTTAAATTAATTGCTTAGGGATTCAAGACATAACATTTTTTTTTTTGAATTATTATCATACACAATTTAAATTAATTTTTTGGCGGCAGTAACTGGCAAAAGCGCAATCAAACCTTCAAGCCAGCTTCCACGGAACAGCCGTTCGAGCTTTGTCGATGGAATCTTCTTGAATTTTATTGGTAGAAGATGCTCATATTCTTTATACGTCATAAAATGGCTCGTTTTAGGAATTTTAAATGTTTCCACTTTTGAAGTGCCAGTAGGAAACTCATTTAAGCTCGTAGATCTTTTTTTTTTTGGCAAATATTTCAAAATAGTCTCTTATTCAAAATTCTATGCTTACATTACGTAGGTATTTAAATTTTAGTGAAAGAGCCCATTCAATAATTTAGTATCTTCTCTTGTTTCTGAATGTTCTTTATGGGCAGTTCTAGAGGAACACTTAGTTTTTTCCTGTTCTGGTATCTTTCTAAAGCATACTGTGGATTAGCGCTCAAATGAGTTCAGCTTCCTCAACTAGAGCATCATATAAACTGGATCTTACTTGTTTTCTTATAAGAACCGGCGAAAGCAGAAAAGTCGGAAAAGCCTATCTAAAAGCTTCTCCGTTCATGTGGAGTAGAATTAGTGCTAGTACAAAAGAGTGATCAAGATGAATGCGGAGATTCATCCAAAACCAGTTCCCAACTTATCAGCGTTCATTTTTCTTGATCCCGATGCTGAACTTATAGTTCTCCAAATAATGCTATTATATCTCTTTTCCGATGATTTTATGGTGTATAGTACGACTTGTTGCAATACCTTGTAACCCCATTGGTTAATGAATTAACAAGAGGCTCATAATATGCTCAGTTTGCTCAGCGAATAATAATAAGGGGTGGGTTGATAGTTGAATAAGTACAGAATGGCAAGGGCGCCACTGAATTAAAAAAAAAAAAAACTTAATTATAGTTATTAATGATACTAGTTCGATATGAACACAATAATGGGTAACGCGTGTAACGGTAAACCACGAGGCGTTAGCCGAGTGGTTTAGTTACACAATTTTCATTAATAAAGTTCATATCGAACGTGTGTCATTCAAAATTCAATCTACGATGGTCCAAATAGATTTTTTTTGCCTTGAAATTGCAAAAACTCCTCAAATCAACATAATATTCGGCGAACGCGCTTGGTAATTTTTGGAATTCTGACATTAGCAGCTTCAATATTGGAGTCCATTTTTGTGCCACAAATTCAGTTTTATAGTGGAAAATAATTATTAATAGGGGTGACTCCGAGTCCAAAAGTGTTCCTTGGGATATCGAGACAGCATCAATGGAAAGGTTCTTGTGGTAACTAACTTTTTTTTTGTATATTTTTTATTTTATAATTTGGGTGCATTTAGGTATATAGATTCTCATAATCGCACTAGTGCTATTATAAAGTACCCAGTGACATTCAAATGATAATGCTAAATGTGTCATAATGACACCGAAGTAGATTGAATTACTCAAAATATTATTGGTTAAAAACTCAGGAACACACCTAAAAAAAAAAAATCAGCAAACGGTAATTGGTAATTCTGAAAAGGAAATAAATACGGCATATAACTCAACCAAATCTTGACACAGGTAAAACCAAGAAAACAAGCAAGTACGTTTCAAATTAAATCAGTAGGTATATATTTTCACAGTGAGGTCAAAAATCAAGTATTGAATATATTCAAAGTATTAAATCAATTGCTGGTAAAATACTTCAAATTAAATCAATAAATAGAGGTTAACTCTCAATCAGTTTCATCAAATTCAAAAAAAAAAGATAATATTACAATGTACCTCAATATACTTGCCATATAAATTCATTAACAGTCGCTGGCCATGTCATTATCGTGAAATGAAAATATAAAGATTTCAGTTTTCAGAATACTGATAAAAAAAAAGATTGAAAATTGTATTGATAAACATGGTCAGCTTCTGGTTAAAGAATAAATTCAATAAAATCAATTTGCGCCAGTATGAAATCGTAAGTTGTGTTAAATGGTTAGGAGATATAATAGAAATCCTCAAATATATAAGGTAGAGGACCCAGGGTTAAAAATTGATAATTTTTTGACGATGTAGGTATACAGCGTGTCCAGAAAGTCAACGATAATACTGAAAGTGCTGATGGAGCAACTCATTAGCATTCAGAAAAGCATAATATGACCTTAGTAAAAAATCGATGGTTTCGGAGATATTGTCACTTTCATAAAATTTGTTAAAATCGTCCTCTTGGATGAGATTTTCGAATGTGACCTTAAAATTTTCATTATTTAGGAATTATGTAAGCATTCCGAATTCAGTTTTGCAATGGTAAATAGACCTATCATTTGTCATTTGTCATAGACCAACATTAAAAGTCAAAGTTCAAAACATTTACTAAAAAATCTTTTTAAAGTGAAGTATCAGAAGTATTCACTTTAAAAAGATTTTCTAGTAAATGTTTTGAACTTCGACTTTCAATGTTGGCCTATGACAAATGAAATGTCTATTCACGTTTGCAAAACTCAATTCAGAACCTAAAAATAATGAAAATTTTAAGGTCAGACTCGAAAATCTGATAAAAGTCGACGATTTTAACGAATTTTATTAAAGTGACAATATCTCGGAAACCATCGATTTTTTACTGAGGTCATATTATGTTTTTCTGGTTGCTAATGAGTTGCTCCTTCAGCCCTTTCAGTATTATCGTTGACTTTCCGGACACCCTTTATACTTACTGGATAATTTTAAATTTAGAGCATGTTGTCCAACCTTGATCTCAGTTCAGATTATTGATTATGAATAATAAAATTTACATCTATAATAAATTCGATGAATCGAAAAACGGAAATAATTATTTAAAGTTCACTTCGGTGTCATGAATGTAATGAATGAAATTGAAATTTTAAATATTCAAATGTAATATCGGTAAAAATTCAATCAATTATGATGATTGATCATAAAATTGATTTCATAAAAAAGGTAATAAAAGTTATAACTGAAACTCTATACAAGCCTCAATTCCAACAAAAAGGTAGAGTACGGTAGTCGGTAGCCATCCATTTTTGGGCACTTGACGAGGGAAGTTTCAAATGGAAGTTGCATATTGTAGCCTAGAATCAAGGCTAGAAGTTCAGCTTTCTTCGTCAAATGTAGGGGTACACGTATCGACTCGGGAAGGACTTGATTCCTCTAGGAATCCCTTCCAAAGCTTTGCCACGCTCCACGAAAATGGTGTTTTTTAAAAAATATGGCCTTTTGGAAATGGATTCGTTGAGAGAAACGGCTCCTTGGAAAAATGCTCCTCGGAAAAACAGCTCCTCGGAAAAACATCTCCTCAGAAAAACGGCTCCCCGGAAAACCCATGAGGGGGTTCGAAATTCAAATTCAAATAAAACGGTAATCACAAGACTTTCGATGATACATTTTTCGGCCTGAGCCATTACTGCTATGATGCAGCAAGCTTCATATTCGTATTCAGAATCCCAAAAAACATATAATTCCGTTGCAAGACCTTCTACCGCATTCACGTTACAGAACAGGCATTTTTTCCATAGTTTGGTGCACTCGCATTGCACTGAACAATATCCCAGTTCACGAAGGCTTGCGAATCAGCTACAAACATCAGATGAATGGAAAGAAACAATTCAATATGAGAGTCGTAGGTAGCATTCCAGTTGAGATTGTGGAACAATCAATGGCACAGTGCACAGTGCATGTAGGGGACGAAATTTTGAGAACCTCATCAATAATTTGTTTCGAAATACAAACACCAATGGTCCAATTTCTGATACTAGGTCTCTATATTTTATTGAATCTTTTGTATCACTCTGTGATTAATTATTGTTTATAAACTTTTAACTTAATATAGTTTTAAATGACCGCCATAATCGTGGATTACTAATAGGATAGAAAAAATATAGAAACTATAGCTAAAAGCATTACTACATTATATTATCGTAACATTCAAAAGAAATAAAAAGAAAATTTAAATTTTACATTGGCATTCTGGGCATTGCGAATAAAAGCGCCTATAAAGTGGGACTATAGCACAAAGTAGAAAATAACATTTTTATTTTTATGAGCTGCAGCATATCTGGAAAGCTTCACTTTTCTTGATACTAAAAGAGCATTATATTGTTTTAGATTATGTTTTAGTACCTACTCGTTTTTATTTTCTAAGGCAATGTGAGTGTTAAATGAAATAAAATACTGGAGTTGCATAGGGATTCGCATATTTTTTTAATGGAAGCTCAAGTAAAATGGACAATTTTCAATTAAAACATTTTTTACAGGTTTTTTGAAGGTAGAACCAGGAGAGACGACACATCAAAGCAATTTCGGCTTGGTGGATCAAGTAGCTGCCTTATTGTGGATCCAAGCTAACATTGATGCCTTTGGAGGGGATCCTGGAAAAGTTACTTTATTGGGCCATGGAACTGGAGCGGTATATGCTAGTCTTTTAGCTATAAGCCCTATGGCAATTCATGAGCAAAATGAACGTAAGTTATATATTTTACTTTCATGGGTATGTGACTACGCCCAAACATTTATCTTTACTTGAAGGGATTTAGGAATACCTACTTAACTTAATCATAGATCCTTTCTCAAACCGCAATACGTAAATTATTATTCCATATGCCCAAGTTTTAATCTTGCGTGCTTAATGTACTCGCCAAATTTTAATGGAAATTCGTTAACAGGATGAATACACTTTGCATAATAATGGGTCATTTCGAATTTTCCCCCTGGTCTACTATGTTATATCAGCGAAATAAATATAACAAAGGGCCCTGTGTTCAAATTACTTTAAAATCTTTATTTCAAATTGGTAAAATTGAATAAGTATACATTTGAATTATTATAAGTTTTTCAAAATAATATTGATCTCACCCTTTTTAAAATAGGTACCATAGTTTCTGTTTTCATGGTAAACGCTATTGAATTTAATAATATCCGTCAATAAGTCCTTACTTTTCAGAATTATCCTTTAAATATCTCTCAACAAAAAAACTTCAAAATCTCCGGGGTTATTTTCCCGTTGTACAAATAAAAATACGCGTCGGAACTGACTATCATCAATCGCCGACCAATATTTGCTGTTGAGATGCCGCAGATTTAAAGCCAGACATTATTGATATAAAGAGCTATGAAAAAAAAGCACATCAAAAGTTTTTTATCTGATGTGAAATTGGATAAAAGATTTTCTGATGAAATGCTCAAAAACTTTTCCAGGTAAAATAGGATCCCGCTTTTGCAATTTATTGTTTTGCACTCTGATATTTTGTGCTGGATAGAACAAAAGTGCTTTTGGGCATAATTTAATCCGTTATCTTTGTTATTTTGTTACTTCAGAATATATGGGCAATAATAAAGCCTTTGTGAAGCTTGAACCGATAACATTTTTGATTAAAAAGTCTGTTTAACAAAAGAATCAAAGGATAATATAGAAAATCCAATTAAATGAAAACTCAACACATCTTTTAAAAGTACACTCGGTTTTCGGCGACCTTTTAAACGAGTGTTTGCACGATTGGCACGGATAAATGTTAGGAGCTTGAAGGAAAAGGGTTGATAATACAACAACAAAAAAATGAGAATCTTTTTTTTATATTTCCAATAAATAAATTTAAATAAGTTGAGTGAAGTGAGACTTTCAGACAATCATGTGTACTATTTCTATAATGGGGTAAGTTTGGATTAGCGACTGAGAAAAGCGGAGAACTGATATCAACTTTCGACAAGAAACAAAAAGGCTTCAAATTTACACAATGCTAATTTCGTAATACCCTTATATGGCACACGATGCCATCTTTAAATGGAATAACTAAACTATACTATAGGATAAAATATATGCTCTCCCAAACAGAAAAGTGCCAATTATTATAGTAGGTATTGGGGCTCCAAGGTCATTCATATTTTTCCCAAGACCTCAGGGAAGTTCCGCGAAATGTGGCAGCGTCGCACAATCATTTCATCATGGGTACTGTGTGTTTTTTCTTAGGTTAAGCAAATCGTTTCCATAGAATTCTGAAGAAATCTCTCAAAGACGCACTGTCACAAGTTTCGTGTCCACATGAGCATGGCATTTTGTTAAGTTGGTTTTAAGGTCATTGCAACTTAACACCACCATTTCGTCAAATTAAAAAAAATTCATGAATTAAGGAATTTCCATGGTCGCCCTTTTCATGCTGTGCGCAGATTTGAAGGTTGGGGGAACGCAGAAAGACCAGTTTTGGTAATCTGCGCATATCGTCAATATATAGGTAGTATAATTTTTACTCTATTCCTGTTTCAATAACTTTTGGACTTCAATTTTTTTAACTATTTTTGGATTATTTTGTTAGCTTATTGGGAGAGTATATTATTTTATCTTAGCATATTGGCAGTTCAGCCATTTCGTCGCCAGAAGGCACCGTGTGCTGAATTATGTTGCGGTTATGCATTGTAACATTTAAAATGTCACAAAAATATATTTATTATTCCTAGTTATTTTTATATATTTTGGACTCATGTAAAAGTACTATTTCGTACACCTAGCGACATCAATGATTCTTCTGACTAGTTTTCCTAACCTAATATCGAGAATTCTGTTGTTTCCGAGAAACCTGTAGCCATTTTTATGATTTTGACAAGCTTGACAGAAAAAGAACCTTGCCCTTTTCTCTTTTGTTTTGGGACCGAAATAGGTCGTCCAGATTTTTAGAACTGATTAAAAATCTTAAAACTTTATCTTTTTTTCTGGCCATCGAGTCAATATTCTTGAAAAATAACTAGCCAGAAGAGTGCTTGATCGTGTCTACTAGAGAGATTCCTGGAAAATCAACCGATTGTTGATTTTTGTGAAGATTTTTGAAAGTGAGGTTACTATCGGCCGTTCAGGTATGTAAATTTCTTTTTCTATCTGATGAATGATTTCTTATATCCCCTCAAGTCATTCAGGCACCTTTGGCAGGACGAAAAATCCGTGACTTCACTTCTTCAAGTGAAAATTGACAAATTTGAGACCACGCTGTCCTGAAACTCAGAGTAAATCTGGACCCTCTTTTCGAGGAAAGTTTGTGTCCTATGAGAAGTTGATCCCCAACCATTATTTGGTTGTCTCCAGCCAGTTTCTTACCTCCAGAGCTCAAATTTGTGAAAACTTCCGAGGCTTCACAAGGATTCCGTCCAGGCTTGTATAATTACTTATCTATGGGTGTCTTAAACGTGCCATCTCAACTACCGTAACTTATTTTTACCTTTTCTTTATCGCCCCCTATCGTTTAGCTCTATTAGCTAATTAATATCTATGTAAATTCAATTACCGACCTAAATTGTTTACTATATAGTAGTGTTTAGCTAGAATAGCTAACTACTGTTTAAATTCTAATTATTAATTTAATTAATTAATTATCAGAGTCAGATTTTATATTATTTTTTAGTATCGTTTTCTTTAACATTTATTATCCAATAAGTATGCATTAGTATAATTATTATAAATTTATTTCCTTAATATCGAGTACTGATCGATATAATATATTGTGGATTCATTAAAACCTTTAAAAGGTTGATTTAATTTTTAATTTCAAATCAATAATGTGGTAGTTTTACAAGGTAAACTAATGTAAAATCTTTAGGTAGTCAAATTTAAGTTTTATGTTTACCTATTTTGAACTTTAAAGGTAAGAAGGTTGAGCTCTTCGAGAAATCCTGACCCCTTGATTTCACCTAGCAGGTTTTTGATATTTGAAACTGCCTAGGGATCATTTATTTTGACTTCAACACTACACTTAGGTAATTCTCATCGTAGGTATCTATTTAATTGTTTTTAAATTTCAATCTTTTTATATACCTATTTAAATTAAGTTTTGCTTCCCATAAGCTGCTTAAATTGTTTTAATAAAAATGGATACAGAACAATAATCACCTTTAAACAATTTATTTGTTTCAATTTTAATGAACAACAAGTTCGCCATCCGGTCAATAAATTATTGTTTTTAGAATTCCAAAGCTTGTGTTTTTATTGAAGGGGTTAAATGTCAGGTAGGTATTGGATTTGTTTAACTTTTTCAGATTTTTGTATTTATCTTTTTAAATAATAGCTAATTATTTGAATAGTGTCTAGTTTGGCTATTCTTTGATAGGTAATCAAAATAATTTTATACAAACTAGTGGCGCCATCTCTTTACTGTACCAACACCAAGGACCACTCCAAGCTAAAGAAACACTGAGCATAGTCTAGCACAATTATGAGCATTGTTTTGTTCCGACAAAAGATCGTTACAGCATAACTACCAGTGTGGAAATTTAATTTTTTTTAGATGCGGAGTTGTTGATTGGTAATAGGTCAGTAAAACAGATTTAGAATTTGTTGTATTGACCTATCACCAACCAACAACTCCGCATCTAAATCAATTGATAGGTCACAAAAAAAAACCATCCAGAAGATTCAATTTTTTTTTGTTTCCTATTAAAATTTTTAATGGATTTCCATCAAGTATCGACTAAATCAATCTTTCTTATCAATATCAACGTTGAAACTACAACGTCAGCAATAAAAAATGGCTTTCTATTTTATTTATTTATTTTAGGTTTGTTTCATCGAGCAATTCTGATGAGCGGTACCGCCTTAGCTGACTGGGCTCTTGTCAGCAAACCATTGGATGTCTCAATTCAAGTAGCTCAAATACTCAACTGCCAATTATTTGACAATTTTGCTGCATGTTTAAGAAAGAAAAGGTAGGTTTAAAAATAATTAGTAAATGGCTAAACATTTCATTTATATTTTGTGAGTTTGGGATACGATTGGTTGAGAGTGGCTTACTTCTCTGGAATAGACACATACGGTATACATTATTTTTCTCCTACAAACACTATCTAAATAATGAATCCAAAAGCTAAGAGGAGAAATTATTTGTAAAGCTATGTCGATAAATGCAAAAGTTCACACATCCGCTAATTTTTTAATGCTCACATAGTGACTGTTTGTTAAAATTGTCACAAGTATTTTGTAGTTTTGTGATAGGGGATAGGAGATTTCAATGAAAGCACGGGAAGGACGAACAATAGCCCAGTTGGAGAAGAAATAATCAATGATAATGGCCGAAGGCTCATACATCTCTGTAAGACCCACTATCTTAGAATAAACAACGGATTTTTCAAACACAAAGATATTCACCGCTACACATGGATACAGAATACCCGTAACCTAAAAACTATTATTGACTATGTGATAACCAAACAAGAAACAAATATAGAGATAAACGACGTAAGAGTCCTAAGAGGAATAACTTGCGGGTCAGATTATTATTTAGTGAGAGCCAAAATAAAGTTGCAATTTTGGAAAATGAATAGGAACCCAGAGGAACAAAATATGAATGCCATACTCACGCACACAGTAGATACAACAAAATACAGTTTTGACAGTTTTAAATATGGAAGCATTGTATGTCTATATCAGAGACGACTCGACAGCAAACTATTACACTCTGAAGAATGTACCTTCAATAAACTCTATGAGAACATTATAAAAGCCGCCCAAGAAGCAATAGGAACAAAGAAAATAAATATTAACAAGAAATACTGGTGGAACGTGGAGATAGAGCAATTAGTCCAAGAGAGAAGCAAAAATATCTGAAATGGCTAACAACAAAAAATGACCAAGACTTTGAAGTTTATAAAGACACCGAAAGACAACTAAGAACGTGCATCACTATATTAATTAAGAAATGTAAAGAAATTAACACCTACATAGGAGGAACTGGAAGGAGATGCTCAGAGGTATGGAGATTTATATCAAATGTCAAAAACCCAGGAAGGAACAGAGCTAATATCCAAGTTATCAAACCAGAGAAATAAATAGAACAATACAAAGGTCAATTACAAGAAAATAGAAATATAAATTAGATTCTCCAAGACATATTCAAGTATTTGGAGAAGTACCTAGAATCTTCAGTCTGGTAAAGTTAGCGGCCCAGAAGGGATATACTCTGAAATGATGAAATGGAAAACTGAGAAGCTCTTCAAAGGTCTCACGTGTATTATCAATAAATTCCTAAATGGGCATCCTGTTCCACAAGGCTTTTATATCATCCATCCACAAAAAAGGAAATAAGCTGGACTGCAATAACTATCGGGGCATATCAGTCACAAGCCCACTCAGCAGACTATACGGTAGAATCCTGCGTGATCTCATTGAGGAAGATTATAAAGAGAAAGAAGAAGAAAAGCAGTGCGGATTTAGAGCCGGAAGATCAGGTACCTACAGACAACGTATTTTTCCTAAAACAAGTCATAGAAAAGAGATCTGCTAGACATTTGTAAACCCATCTTACATTTGCGGACCTACGAAAAGCATACAGTTCCAGTATCCAGACTATGGAAGGTATTAAAACAATCCAACATCAATCACACCTATAACGGCACCTAAAGAACTATATAAAGACTCAAAACCAAGAGTTAAGATAGGTGAAAATTCACAGATTCATTTATGGTGGATAAAGGACTACATCAAGGATGTTGCATCACTCCTACGCATTTCAAAATATAGTAGCAGTAGCACTAAAGAATTGGAAGAGGAAGATCCATGGAATGGGTATAGAAATAAATGATAGGTGCCTGTTTACTTTTCAGTTTGAAGATGATCAGGTCATAGTGGCCAGTGACAAAGAGGACATGCAATATATGATTAGAAAGCTGCTAGAAGAGTACCAAGAATGGAGCCTGAGAGTTAATATAAATAAAACAAAATATCTATTTGTAGGCTCACAGAACGGAAACTTGGAAGTGGACGATGGTCAGGAAATTCTGCAATGTCAGGAATATGAGTATCTAAGGATCACATTCGACAACTTCGGAACAGCTGTGAGACAAAAAGAAAAGCGGATAGTTAAAGCTGAAAAAGTAATAGGATGCATAAGTGGAATCTTATTGAGCAAGGAAATAACAAAGAAGAGAAAATTCAATATATACGAGACAATGATAAAGAGCTGCCTTCTATATGGAGCAGAAAGTAGTAGAAGCAGTTAAAATGGACGCTATTAGAAGATCCATGCGAATCTCACGAAGAGAGATAATAAGGAATGACCATATAAAACAACAAATGGGAATAGAAGGCATGATAGTTGGAAACAATTTACCTGGTACAGACACGTAGAACGTATGCCAAATACCAGGTGCCCCAGAAAAATGCTGCATTGGCGACCAACAGGTAGAAGAAAACGAGGAAGACCAAAACTAGAATGGCAGAAGACCATACAAAAGCCCATAAGTGAAGGAAATCTGTCATCAGAGGAGGTGTAATGTTTTCATTACACCTCCAAGGCGTCCAAAAGAAGAAATACCTTGAAATTTGAAAAAAAAAAACTAGTCGTAGGTATAGAAGTACCATCTTCACCAAAAGTACCTGGGACAGCATCATATTAGCTTTTGTACTATTACATGAATTTTCTTGTCAAATATTTGTCAAACTATGAATTAAATGCATTGAAATGAATGACGGTTGAATTAGTCCAGGAGATTAATATGAATTATTTTTGTCCTAGATACTTTTGGTAACGATGGTACCTACCGACCCCGAGTGCACACATTGACACTAAATTTACTGAAGTTGAAACTAAGCCACTATCAATACTAGGGTCTCAAAATAACATATTGCATAGACCTCAAATGTCTACTTTTTTAATTATTTGTAGAATGTTTTTATTTCTTATACTAATAAGATAATATTTTGGCAGGTTAGGAGAACTGATGTCAGCAACTCCGAGAACAGAACCATACAAAACTACTTTTGGGCCTGTAGTTGATAACCTTATAGTACCGAGTAATCCGAAAAAGTCCATGATGCAGTATACTGATATATTCAAAAGGTATAATTCAAAACTATGGGAATTCTCAAATACTGAAACAAAAACAAACTTTTTATTAGATTTAACCAAAATAAGACAAAAACAGCTCCTATACCTACCCCAAAAATCCATTAGAGTAAAAAAAGGGATAAAAGAATTATCGCGATTGTTGTGGCAAGATTGGATCACATTAATTTTGTTACGGTGACAGTTTAATGAAAAAATTAACATTAAAATCTGCTGAATTCTGTTTCATTCCAAAACGATCTTTGTTTTTTTTTTCCATCAGAAAAAACAAAAGGTTCGGAAAGAATTAGAATAATTTCCATGTATTTTATTTAAAGACATAAGTTTTTAATTACGCTCTACTATAGATTTAGCACGAGGTTTTTTTCAACTTGAAACATATCAAGATTTAAAAAATAAAAACAAATTTGTACCTGAACCCCAAATGTTTAATTTTCCAACAAGGGAAAATAAAAGTCAATATCGTTTGTCAAAAACCTTCTTCAGAGTAAAATTTAAGGGTAAAATGCCTCCACGCTAGAATTACAGCCGGAGTTATCTGAACCGTAAACAAAATCGAAGTGCTGGCGTCACTTTAGTGCCGACTCAGTAATTTTATTTTTGCTATTCCCCAAAGGCTACAGGTAATATACGGGCCCGGAGACCTGTGGAGCTTCTTTCTTTTGAATTTAACTGAAACAAAGAGAACACGATTTGGCTTTATTCCGTGCCCATGGCTATAAAATAGACGAAAAATTACTGGTAACCACTATGATTTTGTAGAATTTTCAATAGCACTCGTGCTATTTTTCAACTAAAAACGCATTCGAGCAAATTTCTCAAAAATTATCGATAATTTCCATTGCACTTGTTATATTACTATTGAGAATTTCATACATCTGTCAAAACTCGTTTTCCAACAATTAATTGACATGTTTTGATTGTTGATTTGAACCAATCAGATTGTAATTACGCGATAATTTGCACTAGTGCCAATTATCAGATAATTGCATACTAACTGGTGCGAAAACTGGTGTTTTGACATTTTTTGACAAAAAATTTAAATTTTTGATTTATGAAATTTTCTCATTAAATACAACTCGTGCATTGGAAATATATTTATAATTTTCGACAAATTTGCACTCATGCGTTTTTAACTGAAAAAAGGCACTCGTGCACTACGTGCACTCGTGCTCTTTTTCGACTAAAAATGCATTCGGGGAAATTTCCCAAAAATTATCAATAATTTCCATTGCACTAGTTATATTACTATTGATAATTTTTTTTTGCATTTGCGAGGCGGAGCGCAGCGAAGCCGAACGAATGCAAAATTATTGCGAGGGATAAAATGAGCTTTTAGTCCGCATGATATACATATACTGTCACGGCTCTGGGGTGCGTGAAAGAAATCTTGGGTCCATTTATTCCAAAATCAAAGTCCAATTAACACTACAATAATTTATTCCACGCTATCTAAAAGTATCACAGCCAATCCTAAACTTAAAGCTACTAACTAATACCGGCTTTTATATATCCATATTCCATTCTTGTTAAATCTAGAACAAACGCGATAATCTCCTTTCCTGAAAAAGGCATTAAATTTTAGATTTCATATTTGATTCTGTGCATGCTGACGAAAGCGCCACACTGCCCTCCTCTTAAGGTTGATCGTCCCGACCAACTTCGCGCCCATAATATTTCGTCAATCTGTCTAGATGTACAACTTTCATCTTACTCCTGGTGTTGCGCTGAACTTGATAAACCAAATCATTGATTCTCTTGATTATTCTGTAGAGACCTTCTCATGCTGAAGACAATTTCGGCGACACTCCTTTCTTTCTTGCTGGATTAAACAGCCACATTAAATCGCCTTCTTGAAATTCGGCTGAATTGGCTCTCAAGTCGTATCTGGTTTTCATTCGGTCACTGGCCAGCTGAATATGCTCCCGAGCTAAATCATGTATCCCCAGAAGTCGTGCCCTTACTTCGTCGGTGTAATCTCGAATTTTTTTGTTCTTCTTCAGGTATTCCAAACAGCAGTTCGCAAGGTAACCTGAGTTCCCTTCCAAAAACGATTCTAGCTGGACTTTCACCTCTTGACTCGTGAACAGCTGCTCTGTAAGCATTTGAAAATAGAAGTAAATGTTTATCCCAATCTCGCTGGTTTGTTCCGACCACTTTTGTCAGGTGTTCCTCGATAGTCTTATTAAATCGTTCTACTATGCCATCAGACTGTGGTGTTTTCCTTGTGTTACGAATGCCCATGATCTCACAAATTTTATTAAAGATGGCAGATTCGAAACTTCGTCCTTGATCTAAATGCAACTCTAGTGGCACATTATGACGACTGAAAATGTTGTCCACTAGCGTCTGGGCAATAATGATGACTTATCGATTAGGATTAGCGAAAACTTCTGGCCATTTACTGAAGTAATCCAAGACGAATTTGTTACTACGCTCTTCTTTCAAATGGGAGTTGTACTGTTTCATGGGTACCAGGGATTTTAGTTTAGGGCCTGTACTGGTAGCACAAATGTCGTATTTTCGACACCAGTTTTTACCTTCTTCATGATAGTGAACCCAGTAAAAACGTTCCCGAATTTTGTCCAAATTCATGTTAACTCCAAAATGTGCCCATGAATTTCCATCATGTATTTCCTTCAATACATCTTCGACTCTACTTTTTAGAATACTTAGTTGGCTCTTAGTAGTTTTCCCATCGGCAGTTTCCCAAACTCTTTTTAGTAAACCATTTCCTACGGCCAGAGAGTTCCACTGAGCCCACAACGCCTTGTAAACCTACATTCATCATTTTCTTTACCATGTTAAATTCGCCCGATTCCTGGTCTGCCTCTTGATCTTCTCTCATTTGTTTGGTCGTCCATTCATCATCAACGATAAGACCCGTTCTTCCCACAACTGGAACAGTGTTTTTTCCCTGAGGCATATCGATTCTTTGACGAAGCTTGCAGCCTTCTTTGCATTGTCGTCTAGACAGGGCGTCAGTATTTTGATGAGGGTTTTCAGGTCGATGTTTAGGGCTGGCGTCTCTAGATCTCCAAAAGCGTTGGGAATGATTCCTAGATGAAGAGGACATCCTTAGTCTACAATCCTATTGCATATGTCCAAGCCTATGGCACCGGTAACATTTTACTTGGTCTCTCGGTGTTGGTGTTTGTTTGGAGTTGTTTCTCAGCTGTATACCTTCTCGTGATAGTTTTTTCATTTTCTCCATAAAATTTCTCATAACATTCTCAAAGCTACCTACCATTCTCTTTTGACGATTGTTTATCCTTTGGGTCTTCAACGGACACTGCTCGTATTCTGAGTTGTGAGGCACCAAAGATAGCTTCCAGTTCCAATGCTCGGACAAGGGATTCGCTACTTTTTCTTAACTTAGACATTCTCAGGTTTTCCTGGATTTTGGAATCTCTGAGACCATCAATAAACGCAGATACTACCATCCATTCCTGCATGTATTCCCCAGCTGCAGGAAATGCAAAACTTACGAGCCTTTCAACCGATTCGAATTCTTGTAAACTCTTGCCGAGTTTTTAAATTCTTGATTTAACTTGAATTTTAAATACTTCTTGTCTGTCATGGTCTCCGAAACGCAATTCTAGCGTCCGACTTAGATGCTGGTAATTCTGTTGGTAGATTGACGGAATTGACTGAAGAAGATCTAAGGCAGGTCCTCGTAGGGCCACTATCAGTGCTGTAGTTTTCTCTTGGTCGTTCCATGCGTTGGTGTTTGCAGCAGCTTTAAATTGTCGGATATACAAGGTCCAGGATGTAGAACCGTCAAAAGTTGGTAGTTTCATCTTCATACTAGAGAATGTTCCAACAACACCTGAATTGATGAACTGTATTTCTAATTTATTCACCTTATCTTTAAGTGCTTGAGCTCGGTCCTCAACCTCTTGCCTTAATTGCTGAACATCGGCGTTTACCTCAGCTTTTACTCCCCGAATGTCATTCCTCACTTCTCGCACATACTCTTTAACTTCTTAAACATCGTCCTCAACTTGGGCTTTTACTTCTTTAATTTTTTGTTCTAGGTTAGCGACAAATCCTTGTATGGTTTGAAATATTTTACGCAGTTGTCCAATATCTTCTTTCCTTTCTTGTTGTTGTTTGACCTCTTCTTCTTGTTTTTCTTTTTGTCGTTTAGCCTCTTCTTGTTGCCGTCTATAGTAAGAACCAGCCAAGAAGAAGCCATTGACATCATCACTGACGAAAAAGGGAAATTACCTTTTCTCTGGGGCCCTCCCGTTTGAAGTGAGATAAACGATAACGCGTGTGTATTCTTCTAAGTTGGTTTGAAATTTAGCTTTTTCTTCTTGTTTTTCTTCTTGTCGTTGGGTCTCTTGAAGTTCAGACATTTTGCGCAGAAGTTCTTCAATTTTCTGATCTTCCATTTCTGCTTGTTGTCTCGTAATAGGCATATATAGGATGTTGTGGAATTTCCTTCAAACTCTCTTCAATTAGAGATGTCGAAAAAGTAGCTTCATGTTACTTTGTACTTCCTGATACTCGAAGTAACAAGTACCGAACCAAGAACTATATCGTTACTTCATTACTTTGAATATTTCCACATTTTGATAACACGGCAGATGGAACTTACCGCTATAATCGCATAGCACATCGTATTACGTCTCGTTTTCAAATATTTGTCAACCGTCAAACCCTAGAGTCTATGTGTATTTTATATTGTAATTATTATGATCATAACCTCTAGGTTAAGTACCTGGATTTGCTGATATTTGTGGATATGTTTTGTTTATTCAGTTTTTGAGATTATTTTGAAAATAAAGTTGAAAAATTCTTATAATGACTAATAAAGATGGAGGTGTTGCAGTAATTAGCATGATAAACGATATTAACAATAACAAACCATGCAATATCAAGAATGTGCCAACCTACTAATGCAAGTAATCAAAGTAATGAAGTAGCGAGTATTTGAAACGATTACTTTGTACCAGAGTAACGAGAAGTAACGAGTAGCCAAAAGTAACGAAAATTGACATCTCTACTTCAAATATCTTGCCTGGTCTTTGATTGAAGTTCCAAAAACGTCGGAGAAGTCACAAATTAGATAACTTTCTCTATTCTCAAATGTCTTATCTGAGTGTCCATTGATATAGCAAACACGTCGGTGCAGTCACAAATTCGATATCTCCCTTGGTTTCCAAATATTCTAGAATTTTCCCGAAATTCCTCGAAATTCTTTTTCTGAATCACTATTGATGTATCAAATAGGTCGGTGAAGTGACAAATTCGATCGATATCTTCCTTGGTTTCCAAATGGAATTTTCTGGAACTTACTTGAAAATTCACTATCACAGTCAGAATCGAGTATACAGTAATTTCCGGGGTAATTTACACAATCGGTTAAGTGTCTTTCTGTGATTGTCACTGTCTACACTGATTAATTGTCGTGTGTTCACTAAAGCTGTGGTCCGAATATAACCAGGTTTGTGGTTTCACGGTCCGAAAATAATCAAGTTATTCTGGTTCCTGGAAAAGTGGTTACTTGTGGTCCTTAGTTTCCTGAAATCTGGTTAACCAAATGTTAAAATAGTTACCGGCTATCGGATGTCGGTTCTATTGGTTTTATCTGTCACTTCACTAATTAACTGAAATAACTTAACTCTTTACAATAATCACTATCTGAAAGTCTCACAGCCCATCTTAAACTCAAAACTACTAACTAATACCGGCCTTTATATATCCGTATTCCATTCTTGTTAAATCCAGAACAAACGCAATAATCTCTTTTCCTGGAAAACGTAGTAAATTGTAGATTTCAAATGTGATTATGTGCATGCTGGCGAAAGCGCCACAATACTGTTTTCTCCCCAACCAAGACAAATTAAGTTATTAAATAATTTACTTTTAATCGGCCATGAAAGTAATTTACTGGTGTTAACTTTCAATCCTCCGGATTAAAAGTAGACAGCAACAAGCGTATTTTTGACCAGTACGAGAATTGGCAGCTTTTGCACCTGAAAATAGTCTAAAAATGTCAACCTTTTTTGACGGTTGGGGAAAAGAAACTTTTGTCATTTGTCCTTTCAGAACCCCATGCTCTGATAAATTACAGTAAGACTTTGCAGAAGAATGGTGCACAATATTGGCATTTTCACAACTAGAAAATAAATTTCTACACCGTCAATCACCAAAGAGATCAAAGTTTTCTTTCTGAAAAACTTCTGGAGCCGAGCTCAAACCAAAAGGACATCGACAAAATTGGTAGCGACCAAATAGTATGCCAAACGCGAAGTACTCCGAGGACTCATCATCTTTTTTGACTTAAAAGTTAGCGTCTTTCATATTAAGTATTGTAATGTTACTGAGTTAGCAATTTCATAGGCGTTGGTCTCCAAAATGTTTACTCTGTACATTTTTATTTGAGCACTTATAGTTGAGACAACTTAAAATCACCATTTGTCCTTTCCACTTTAACTTATAAATTTAAACTTTCTCTTTGCTTCTCAACCTTCCTAATAATACCTTGATTCTCACATTTTTCTCATTTCAATTTAACTATTGTGAAGAGTTTGAGGTAACCATATAACTGACTAGATATGATATCTGGTATCTTTCTTCAGAACATATAACATTATGCTCACATGGGAATTGACCTGATCCTCCAATTCAGGATATATAGGGTGTCCCACGATACCGATACCCAGGTGATAATTTCAGAACGCGTCATAGTATGTTCCATTGTGTAATTTTTTTATCATTTTCTTCAACAAAAGCTTAAAAAATATGGCATTGCCGATTTTTTAATTTAATTTTCTAACGAAAAATGCCATAATATATCATAGGTTACATTCAAGATTCTAAAGTTGCTATCACTTGACGGAAACTAAAGCGAAAGTGGTGAAATTGGATGACACATGTAGGTAGAAGCGGCACAAAAAGTTACCCAGATCCTGAAAATTTCAGTTACATTGGATGAAGCGTTCCGAAGTTATCACCTGTGTAAAATGTCGTAGGATACCCTGTATACTATCAGATAGTGACAGATTTAGGTGCCCCATTATCGCATACAAGCCCCGAAAATGATTGAAAAGTCATCGATACTGAGTAGAATGAAGAGAAATTCACGAGTTTATACGTCATAGAATGGCGCCTTTCAAAGATTTTAAATTTTTCCACTTTTGAAATGCCTGCAAAAAACTCACTTAAGCTCAGAGATATATTTTTTTTGTAAATATACCTAAAATAGTCCCTCATTTGAGATTTTATGCTTAAATTACGTATTTAAATTTCAGTAAAAGAGCCCATTGTTTCAGTTATTGGCTTGGTAACGACCAATGACATATAAACACATAGACATTACAGTAAACAAAATTTTGCGTCGCCAACATCTAGGAGAGCAATCCACCACCAGTGTATCCCCTCCAGTTTGGTTGCTAAATTGTTAGTGATTGATATTTTATCCTGTTATGGCTTTGCTTCAAAAAGTTGGAGCTTTAGGACTTAAAACGACTACTGGCAACGCCGGTTTGTGAAACAGGCGGAACACATGCAATCGATTGGCATGTCAACGCATCCATCGAACTTATATCATATGAGATAGAGGCAGATAGATAGATAAACCAGTTGCACCCGTGACAATTCTTCATTATTTTGGTCAAGTGAATGAACCCGTCATTCACATGATGGAGGGGCAGACGGGTGTTGTTTACACCACTGATGCATCCCTAGCATGACCCACCTCGATCAGCTCACCTCTCCTGGCCCATGGGGGTTGCATGGAGGGTCTTGTCATCACAACAAACATCAGTTTATGGATGAGATGCGGTGTCTATCTGTGTTAAGATATCATTTGTAACGACCCTAATATGTCATCAGTCGAAATTTCGCAAGCAAATAATGGCGATGAATATCCAAAATTTGATTTTAAATAAATAAATCCATTTTACCCACTTTCAAAGAAACCAATATAGCTTTTTCCGAACGCAGTAATGTTCATATCACTTCACGTATTATATTTGAGCAGGATGGGATTTAACTAAAACTTTATGCAAAGTTTTCTTTCTCTTATACCTAAAATAAATCATCGCTTTAGCCCACACGTGGTTAAAAATTATGACTCAAAGGAAAAGGAAAATTATCGCAAAGATTCCAAATAAATGGCGCTCTTCTATCTCTGCTATGGCGCGCATCAGTTTTAAACCAACTAGGGAATCGTTTCTAATATATAGCCGCGTTCCCATGTCACCAGGGTGGAATTTATTTCCCGAACGCTTCGGGAAAAAAAGGGAATCAATGTAAAAGTCAAAAACATGCGATTTATCTCGGACCGAAAAAAGACGGTAAGCCTCGGTAAATTGTGCGTTTTACTGCCGTTTGTTATTTGATTTGCAGCAGTATCTTTTTCCTTAATAAAGGAATGTTTTCTTATCTTAGTGTTTTTATTGAATACGTTAAGAAAAGCGCCTTTTACGTTTTCTTGTTACAAAGAAAAAACAATCTGTCACAAAGCAGGCTCATAAAATTAGAGACACATTTTAAACCTGATAAGTCTTGGTATCTTTGCAGATTCGAGTTGATGTACGGCGTTACGGAGATGGAAAGCATACATTTGCCTTTGGGAGGAGACGTGGCGTTAATTCACGGAATGCTGGAGAACGAACGAGATGACGAACTGCAGAAGTATATGCGTATACGTTGCGAGATGAAGCCCGAGGTGTGTTTTGGCGAAACTAGGGCGAAGTACAACTACGATAAACCCACGGTAAGTTTATGATAACGCTCTTGCTATACGTTTTTGTGTTTGATTTTTGTTTCAACAAATAGAGATTTAGTGCAACTCAGTAGATATTATTAAACTAAAAACATATATATTTGCTCTAAGATTTCTCGGCAAAGCAAACAATAACAACAAAGACATAAATTGCTTTGAACATCATTTTCGGGCCAGCGCTGTCATATAACCTAAACAAGTTTCGTATTACCCGAGAGCTGCTTCTTATGCCCATCAAAAGATATCATGCTCCGTTTATGGTCAAAAGCAACTTCCGCAGCTTTAGATTAATACTGTCTGGATGTGGAGTTATGATACTCGAGATTCAAGTTTAGTTCTCTGAGACGCTGTCTTCGTAAGTTCGATGGTCAGTGATATAATAAGAAGTACCTACCTATAATAAATTTAAAACTTGCAAGTCAATAATTTTATTACATAATACAAGAACAAATACATTTAAGTAAATTGAAATAACAAGAGCAAACTTTAAACTTTTAAATTATTTAGTTTTAACAAGGGAAATAAAGTTTCAAGCATTAATTATTATAATTTATAAGGACTTGAAGTTTACTTTTAACAATTCTTTTTATTTGTCTGAATGATAAGGTAAATTGCGACCTTAGTTTGTTGGATGATAGTTTATATGAAATAGCTCATAGAGTTTCAGAATTATTTGTATCGGCAACAGTATATCTTCAGCATGTACCACCTCTACAATAGTTATTGTACTCCTATCGCATTGGAGCGAAGGCGAGGGATTATCCCTGAACCCAACCAAAACAATTATTGTCCCGTTCACAAGAAGAAGGAAGCTAAAAAGACCCCTCACCCTTAAGGGTACAACACTAACATTTTCCAGCGAAGTGAAATACTTGGAACCAAACACTCACTTAGAACAAACAGTTAGAGAAAACATGCTCTAGAGCTATATCAGCCATCTGGTCATGCCGCAAACTGGTTGGTAAAACATGGGAGCTAAAGCCAAAGGCGGTATTCTGGATTTACCTACTATAATAAAACCCATGGTCACATACGCCTCATTGGCGCGAGCAGCAAGGCATTGCTCAGATCAAGCTACACAAGGTACAAAGGCTGATATGCCTAGGAATAACGGAAGCAATGTCGACCTGCCCCACCGCAGTCCTAGAGACGCTGCTTAACATGCCTCCACTTAACCTATGTGTGAAAAAGGAGGCAATAATCAGCGCTCATAGGTTATTCCGAAAAGCTAAGTTCAGGCCTGGTAATCTGAGGGGACATCTGCGTATCTTTGAAATAATGGAACTGGAGAATGCCAGCAAACCAAGCGACCACATGATAGTCAGATTGGACTTAGAGCTCCCATTACCATTACCATTAAACGTTTATTTACAAAATTACATAGTTAAATTTCAACCTATCACTATGCTACATACTAATCTAAATACAAATATTTACATGATATGCCGCAGAGCTACAAATTAAATTTGGCCGATGTTCTGGCCCATTACCGGGTACAATTAAGGATGGAAACCCAGGCTTGATGAAACTTTTCTGAGGCACTTAATGATCCTTTTAGCTCAATTTTCAGGTGTTATCAGGCTCGACCTTTAACGTGTTTCTATAATTTTATTGTCCTGTTTGTCATTCCATATTTGCCCTGTCCTTGATAAAGGGAAAAAATATCAAAAACCCTTTTTCTCGTTTCTTTGGTGTGTCTAAAGTCGTAGCGCACGGCGCTTGTATCAGGATCATAGAGAGTGTTCAAGGTTCTTGGCGCCGACTGGGCCGCGTCTGATTGTCATTTATATTATTATTGTATTTTATATTATACTAATGCTCGAGTTATACTTCGAGTTTCAGCGCTGCTCTACATTAATTTAGCTTGAAGCGCTAATTCCTGCAGTCTTTGCTCTCCTGATCAAGGCGAGTTATAGTAACTTGGTAGTCGGTGATGTATGGGCCGATGTGTTGCGGGATTTTGGGGGTTGAATTAAAGGGAGGCAATATTTCTGGTTATGTCTGGTCCTTGCGCTGTCTGCCTGAAAAATTTCAACGGGACTTGAAATATTCCAGGATAGTGTTCAATTCCGCCAGTCTGTGAACTTCCACTGTCCTTGTATCCCAGGGCAGTGAAAGGGCGATCTTGAGCACTTTGTTTTCGTAACGTTGGAGTTCTAAGTTTTTGGGTGTTGCAGATATAGTTCCAGGCTGGAGCGCCATATAGTAGTGATGGCCTGATGATACTCCTGTAGATGGCAACACGGTTTTTGGGACTGAGGAAGGATGTTGGCTTCATGATGGGGGTGAGAAGTCTTTCGGCGGCATAGGCATTGTCAAGTACGTGATTTACCTGAGGGTAGCCCCGGAGAGTCTTATCCAGGATTATCCCCAGGTATTTTGCCGATGCTTTCGGGGCGATTTCCGTGCCGCCGATTGACAGGGGAGGATCCATGATTATGTTTGTCCTTTTCCTGGTAAGCGTGATCAGCTCCTCTTTTGAAGCGTTCTATGCCACACCTTGTCGAATGCCTTCTTTATATCGAGGAGCAGTAGAGTGCTGCCGTGGTTGTTGAATGATGCGATTACATTCTGAGCCACTTTCGCTACTGCTAGAGTAGTGCTGTGTTTTTGCCGGAATCCGAACTGTTCCAGGGGTAGGCATCCGAGTGTGTTTACTTCGCTTGCTAGTCGGCTGAGTATTAGCCGTTCTGCAACTTTACCCAGTGAGTTTAGTAGGGAGATTGGTCTGTACGATTGCGGTTGTGGTATGTCCTTGCCGGGTTTGGGGAAAACAATAATATTTGCATGCTTCCAGGCTGCTGGGAAATGTTGAAGCATCATGATTCCATTGCAAATTTGTAGAAAGTGGATTATTACTTTCCTCGGCAAGTTCTTGATGAGCGTATTTGTAATCGAGTCTGGTCCAGGAGCTTTTCTGTTTGGAAGCTTTCTGATTATTTCAGTCAGTTCTGCAGGAGTCTTTAGCATCCCTTATAGCACCCTGGGCGGTATTGGGTATTTTTGCATGACAAAGGCGTCCGTCACCCTCGAGATGTTCTAATCCTTGATCGGAAGACTCTTCAAAGACCGTGACAAAGTGGTCTGCGAATATCTCCGGTTTATCTTCGTCCTTGTAGTAGCTGACGCCTCCGACAACCAGGTCCGCTTGCTGCGATCCTGGTCGCCTAAGGTTCTTCGCCAGACTCCACAAGGAGTTATCCTTTGTTTCTAGAGAGGAGACATACTTCATTCAGATTTTATTCCTGTGATTTCGTATGTTCCTCTCTATTTCGCGGTTCATTATCCTGATAAACTCCCAATCTAGGGGGTTGGGGCGCCTCTGACATGCTCTTTTGACCCTATTCCGTTCTTTGATCAGTGCTACAATGGATGTTGGGAGGGAGTCTGTTCTGTGTTTCAGGGTGATTTTTGGGACCAGTTGGTCCTTGACGGATTGGACGTTTTATGAAAGTATGTCTACTTGCCTCTCAAGTTCTGGAATACTAATGATTGGATCAGAGATGGCCGTAATGTCGTTCAGTCTTTGTTTGTACCTTGGCCAGTCGAAATTTTTGTACGAGAAGACCTTCGATTCTTCTAGCACTGGAAGGTTTTTCCAGTACAGGAAGATCGTTAAGTGGTCAGAGCCGAGTAAGTTCTTTGTTTTGATTTCGATGTTAGTGAGCCCTTTCGAAAGTGCAACATCAATTACGGATGGGGTTAGGCCTGAGCCAGGGAAATGGGTAGGGTTGTTGGGGTAATGAAGTTGCAAGTCGTATTGTTTATCAAGTAGTTGAAAAGGATTGCCTGCCGTATTATTGCAATTGTTCAGCCAACTTGTGTGTTTGGCGTTGAGGTCTCCCACCAGCAACAACCTACCGTTTCTGTAGAAGAAGACCCCAACGTCGTTGGCTGATCTTAGTGAATTTGGGGGGGGCGTAGCCCCCGGAGATCCACGTGTTGTTGTCAATTTCGATTGTGATATACTCGATGTTAGACACCAGTGTGCTAACTCGCCTATATCTCACTGTTTTGTGTATTAGGCAGGCGACACCTCCTCCCCTATTTAGGACTCTATCGTCTCTTTCAGTGATGTAGTTTTTGTATTTAACTTTGTCGTTTGGCCAAAGCTTAGTCTCGTTTAGAAAAACTATTTTGGGACTGTAATGGATCAATGTTTGATATAAGTCTTCCAATTTGGATTTGACTCCATTATAGTTCCAGCTCAATATAAGAAACATTCAAAAGTCGAAACTGTGTATTTGAGTAGAAAAGAATTGCAACCAACTTGTAAGATTTGAGCCTTGTCACCATTGCATTATTTCAGGAGGTTGATATAGGTATTTAATGCCTTCAGAAGTTCCGAGATGTTGACGAGTTAGTTGAGCTCACTCATCGTTGTGGCCAACTTTAGGAAATCCGCCTGATTGTCATTTACCACTCTGGCAATGTTGTTACTTGTAGCGGCTCGTGTTTGTGCTCTGAGCGTTTGTGCGACTCGACTCGCCGGGAAGTCTTGGTCGTACCTCTCGGGCTTCAGCCGAGGTACCAGGTTCGCAGAAGATGTGGCTCTCGGTTCATTGGTAAGTGGGTTGGCCCGGAATTGCCATGCCGGTGTAGTTGGAGGCGGTGCAGGAACGTACCTCCTGTGGGGTTCTGATTGCCTGATCTTGTATATGTATACAGGGCAATTAGGATTGATGCTGCGGTGTTCATCCTCGCAGTTGGCACATTTTTCAGTGAGATTGTCGCCGGTCGTGATCTCGTGAGGTCCAGCGCACCTGCTTCATTTGGTGGTCCCTTTGCAGTAGGTGGCTGCGTGACCTGATCCCTGGCACCGCCGACGTTGTATCACAGGGCGCTCCGACTTCCTATTTTCCCAGTGTATCCTGAAGTTTAATATGATTTTCGCCTTTTGGTTGAGGGCCTTCAGGGAGTAGGAAGCATCTAGGATAACTAAGTACATAGCTTCGTACTTAGTCTTCATCCTAAAGATGTTTCTGGCTTGAATGTTGTGCCTGTGCCTGTTATGTCCTGGATACTGATATCACCTTCCAGGCCCACAAACGCGTGCCCTTTTGTTGCTTTCTCGGCATAGGAGTGGTGCTCGAGTTGTTCGGCTTCAAAGTTTCGGAGCAGGATTGGCCAATCCTGAACCTGCTCACAATAAATTATGGTGGAGTTTTTCGAGTATCTAATTGAGTATTTGGAAAATGCGTCTTCTACCTCATCCATAGTCCTCCTATGCGAGGGTCTTCCCGGTGGTGGCGATCGGATAGTAGCCGTAGTACGCGTTGGTTTTATAATTTATTTCAAATAAAAAAAGCGGTGTGATTTCCCAGTCATACTAGGTGGTCTCTGCTCGACGGTCGAACAGAGAGTGTGGACTTAGAGATCCCATTCGCAGTGGTAATAAACGAGCGCCAATCATGAGAGAATGAAGAATAACCACAAGCAGACAATACATCTCTGTGGTACACAAATGGATCCAAACTAAGGGAAGGAGCCGGACTGTGCGTTACCGGTCCTAACTTTAAGCTCTCCAAGACACTGGACAAACATCTTACAATATTCCAAGCCGAACTGCTTGCCGTTAACATATGTTCACAGGAGTGTCTCAACCAAAGCCTCAAAGGAAAACACATATTCATACTATCAAATAGCCAAGCTGCCTTGAAAGCCTCAAGAGCTGCCAGATGCACCTCAAAACTAGTCTAGGAGTGTCAACAGACCCTAAAAACACTAGCGACACACAACCAGGTGCGCTGCCTGGTCATCGAGGCATATAGAAGGAAACAAGGAAGCAAATGGCCTCCCAAAGGAAGAGGCCTCAACACTATGGACCAGAGCCCTATTGTGGCTTAATGAAAAGCCACATCATGGAAGAACTCAACAAATAGGAGAAAGACCCACTGTCATTAAATTGAAGGCGCACTCCAAAACTTAGACAGTCGAAAAGGTTTATCACCCTTTCAGCAAAAAAGAGCTGAACAGCTCCTAAACATGAACACACCAGACATCAGAATGGTTGTAGGACTGCTCACTGCTCACTGCTCACTGCTTACAGGACACTGCCTGGTGAAATACCACTTAAGGTTTATGGCAGAGCAGAAGACGATCTCTACAGATTCTGCTCAGACGTAATAGAGACCGCAGAGCACTTACCCTGCGAATGTCTAGCCCAATTCTGCAAGAGGCTCGAATTCTTTGAGGGGGCAACACTGTCACCAGAAGAAGTGGGCCAATTGACACACAGAAAAATATTTTCCTTCAGCAGAAGTCTACACTACCTGGAGACAATTTAAGATGTAGAGTCACGTACGAAATATCTGCAAAGGTAGCAGTGCTGAGCGGCTGGAAAGTTGAAACGATTCCCCCCACAATCTACAATCTTCTCCTATCGCATCTGTAGTTCAAAAACTTGATTGTCCAGAGAATTTCTGAGATAATCATGATTCAGTGATTGAAATTACATCGTAGCTGCATTGTTACTTTTACTAACCTAGGTAAACTTCCTTTTTTTCAATTCGTATGACCTTCAAATCTTCAATTTCAAGTGATAATTTATTTAAAATATCTTCTACTTTATTTTTAATATACTTATACATGCCTGCAGATCGTTGGACGTTGACTGCGGAAGATAAAATGAGATCACATTATATGATCTTTCAGACCTCTCAGGAATTTTAGCCAGAATGTCTTATGAGTCAGAGGCCTTTGGGTCTTGCGATATCATCAGGTGCTGGAGCTTATTTTCGACATCGGTAATTCTGATTGAAGCTAGACTTGATTTCACGTGACGGCATTTTTAACCTCACCTCATTTATTTTTTTTCATCAAAATAAAAATGTATTGACATAATGAACCAAAGAACTCCTTCACAATAAAGTCAACGCTGCGGGGAAAACTCAATTCAATTAAAGTGAACGTGGGTTATTTTTCATGGATTGTAACGAAAATTTTTATACATCTTAGTGAATCTAACCTTCTAGAAACCAAAATTTCTTATAAAATCATGTAAATTTCTTATGACAACCGTCAATGCTGGAACTAAACATGATATTCAAAAATATATTGCAGATCTTACTTTATGCGTTAACAAAAGCAGAGCAGTCGTAAAATATATTGCAGCAATCCGAGACTCTATGCATCTTATGTCACAGGGACGAAAAGATTTATAGCCTTACATTCTGGGAAAACAATATAATTTCAAATTTCATTGCGCAAACATAGAAAAAGACTTTGGCGTTTTATTGACTTTTTTCACTCAATTATTCAATAATTGAGATATATTATTTCCTTTTCTCATAAAATAATAAACATGTTTCAACGTACCTGAATAAAGATTTTCCGACATTACCAATCAACTTTGTGGTCCTAAGGCATTATTAAATTATGATAAAAAAAAACAGTATTCCATTAGATTTTCCTCCGCAACTCTAAATTACATTCGCCGACTTAATACTGCAGGTGCAAAGCATCCCGCAACTATAGCCAATTTTTTACTGCAGACCCATTCCGAAGTGTCTAGCCTTCCGGCCCTAATTAACCCGTATAAATTAGTTTCAGAGGGACCAGGGACCATCGGGCTGGATGAGCCAGCAGCCAGACAAAGCAACGCTGGCCAGAGACGAATTGCTCGACATCCTCTCCGACGCCAGAACGGTCGCTCCGGTTATCCAGACGGGACTATATCATTCAGCTTTAAATTTGCAGTCGTATTTCTATGTCTTTGCTCACAAAACACATTCCAAGGAATACATTGTAAGTATCCGACTTAAAATTGATACATGTATTTGTACAGATATGGATATATGAATGTTTTTGGAATTTATATAAATAGTATCCATCTAACATCAAATTGGATGGAGTCGAAGTGAGATGAATTTAAAGGAATTAGAGGAAATGCACACAGAAGTGAACTCTTTTAGGAATACTTCATTGGACTGCATATATTAAATTATTTAAATAAATGAAAATAGCATCGTATCTTTTCTCAAACCAAGCCAGAAAAGTACTACTGATTTTGTCACATCTCTAAATTCTGACAAGCAAATTCATTAGAAGTGACAAAGCTTCTCATTGTAAATAATATATCACAAAATATAAAAATAACCAGGGTAGCCACCCATATTATTTGATGCTATTCATGTAGCTTTGGAATATCGTTTATTTCTTTCACACATTAATTTATCATTTTCAAAAGAAGACAAGAATCCGAAAGCGGCACGTGACGGAACTTTTTGCAAAAAAACAACTTCTCTTGCTGGATAAATAAAACCATTATTATTTTATACAAATCTAGAAAGTATCAAGGTGGTCTGGTTTTTACTAACAAATGCACAATATAGAGTTGTCAGATTTAATTAATACATATCCGGGTTCGTTCAGCAAGATTGAACGGTGTGAATTTTTATTACCTTTTGAACAACAAATCTTATGAAAAATGAAATGAAAAACAAATAGGACCTACGTTGTGGAAACTTACTCAATTTTACTTACTGGACATGCGTCCGACATAGCAAATATTTCGGAAATTTAAGGGAAGTTGTGATATGTAAAAGAAACGAAAAATTTGTGAAACGTCTACTTTATTATTAAAGTAAATCGTACCGTTCTCCTCCTGGAATTAACGAGGGGAAAGAGCACGGCAGAGTAACCCCCGATATAATATTCCTCAAAAATCGAAACATACTGTGTCATTTTTATGATAATTGTGAGTCAATAATTCAATAATTAGAGTCAATAAAAGTTTAAATTAGGTACCATCCTTTGCCTTTGTGCTAAAATTCCAATTACACACACTACATTCAATCAACACTACCTATATTCAAAACTGAAGAGTTTTTTTGTTAGTTAGCCAGTTTTCCAGCAGGTACTGAGGTCCCATACGGGAAGCTACTCAGCTATAGTTGTTTTTGAGCCAATATCTCTAGATTGATTACCTATTTCAATTTGCTAGGATATTCTCTCGTCAGGGTAGGAGAATGTTAGTAAATTGAACAAGGCCCTAATACACGCTCTAAATCCAAAAATCAAAATCCTAGCACAAAAAACGGCACATAATTTCTTCTAGGTTTGAATTTACTCTTTATCTGTGTTGTTTACAGCATGAAACGATTTTTGTTAAATACATGAACATTGCACATGTTATAAAAATTGTTATAAACAAATAAAAATACATAAAAATTAACAAAATAATAGGTACCTATTTGCATAAATTGAACTCTCAAAAACAAAATAACAATTATTCAACTGACTTGTGATCGCTTCTTGACACACAAATGTTATAAACAAACAAAAAATACATAAAAATGAGAAAATAATACTTGTATAAATTGAACTCTCAAAAACAAAATAACAATTAATCAACTGACCTATGAATGATCCTTTATGATACACAAACTAATCACAAATTGGATTGAACATTCAGTTAATTACAAAATAAAAATAAAAGTTGAATAATGAACAATGGCGGAAAAACGGTCTAAGGGACCAGCCCAGAGTCTCGCTTCTCCTCTAGTCTAGTAGCTTCTTTCTTCTAACTACCCTTCGTACGCTTTTTCTGTGGTGCCTCTAGCGTTCGCACCTACTAGACGGCGCATTACATGGTTGCAACATTTACTTTTATTCAGTAAACGTTTTTTTAAAAAGTTAAGATTCAAAGAAATAATATTTTAAATAGGTGGTTTTCCTCAATATAGGTATTTTTTTATTTCCTGGTGGATAATGCTTTCAACATTGTTTAGGTATAACTAATTTTTAGGTCAGTTTTGATTACCATAATGAACGTATGTAAACAATTGTTTAATCCAAAAAAACTAACTGGCGTTAATTTCCGTCGGAATGCAATTTGTAAAAAGGTTTCTCCAGGTATTACCTTACCAACGAAAATTCAAGGACATTACAGTCCTTATTTGGGAATTTATCCGCTGATCTGCGGATGCAATATTCTCTCCCTATCCAGCCCTCTACACGTTTCTTCCTTATTGGGCTCATCAGAACGGCATGGGCTTATGAGCGCCCTGTCCAACCAAGCAATGGCACTGGAATATTATCATATGATTTTTTTTAGATCCGCGACTAATGAATTAATTTCTTAGTCATATGTCAGCTTCTTTTCCATTACCTGGGACAAGCTTAATAAGCGGCCTACTGTTGATATTCCTGTTTTAGAACCAGTCTGTTCTTCTGCCACACTATCTTTGTAATCGTTTTCTATTTTGGATTTCATAATTTTTCCACATAAACTGCTTAACGAATTTGTCACTTCAGCGCCTCGGGAGTTTGGTATTTGTTTCTGTCTCCGTTCTTCTATATTGTTGTTAAATGGCTTATTTTCCACTCTTCCGGTACTTGGTACTTCATGTCCATCTATTCGTGTTTGCTTGGGCGTTTGTAAAATGTATGTATTGCCCCCATGCTTTGTAAAAACTTTGTTTTTTTTTTTTGTAATTCTTCATTTTTAACTCGTTTTGGCGATCTTGCGATTTCTATGTTTTGTGTCTATTCTCTTTCTTCTTTGAACTGTGCTCGTTGTTCTTTCCGTAATTTTTCCAAATATTCTTCCCATTGCTGGGGTATTATTGTGGTAATATTATGCTTAGTTTTTGTTGTCCAGATGTATTTCAGCATTCTCCTAATTTCTATGTTCCTTTCACCTTCCAGATAAGTATGAATGTGTACAGTTTCTTTCCCACGACCAGATTTTTTTCTGCTTCTGTATATATTTCTTTGTCTTCTGTTTTATTTGAACTTAGCTACTGGTATTATTTTTCCTTCTATCTGCTATGTCTTTCTGGATTCCATCATCCCACCAATAACGTTTTTGTGTTCTTTATGTTTTTTCGTATTTGCTTAAGACTTCAAAACTGCACTATGAATACTTTCGATAAGGTGATAATGCATTTTTGGGTTTTCAAAGTTCAGACTACTCTGCTTTAAAACTCCCACCTCATTTGTTGCAGATCTTGAAAGATGTTTGATAATCCCCATGACGTTTCAGGTTATCCTTCCTGGTGAACGATTTGGTGCACGATTCGCAGCTAATCATTTTCTAAAACAGATATTCACAAAATTGAAAATTCGCTGTTTATGGAGGTTTGGTCTAAAGTAATTTGGTCCAATATTTTTATGTACATTATTTCCGTTGCTTAGTTCGTCTCTTATTTTCGATCTTGGTCTGAGGCTATTGAATGAGCCTTTCAACATTCTATAGCTTTTCCGAGTTATGGAGAGTTAGCCCGATTTATTCCTCTTACCAGGGTCCTTATTCTTGAAATAGGGGAGCAACGTTTTTTTTTTTTTTTTTTTTTTTACGGATATGCGCACTCGCAAGGAAATGTCCTATCACGCTCGAGAAGCGGTAAGTGCGCGGAAATGTCGGTGTATGTTGGTCTTGAAACGGTTCAGGTTGTAACCTGCAGGGAAAACCGTCGCAGGGAGTTTATTCCACAGCGATGCTGTTCTCCAGAGATATGAATTCTGATATAATGAGGTTCTTGGTGCCTCTAGTTTGACAGTAAATTCATGGTTACCGTCTGTTTGACGGGTTCGCCTGGTAGGCGCTACTCTCGGTGGAATCATACGTGCCAACTCTTCAGAGCATTTTCCGTGATAGTACCTGTAGAAGAGAGATAAATCGCCCACAGATCTGCGATGTTCGAGACCATCCAAGTTACGAGTAAGTGCGGGGTCATTGATCAGCTTGATAGCTCGTTTTTGCACGGTGTTCAAAAGCATCAAGGTATGTTTGGGTGCTGCACTCCATATATGTGAGCAGTACTCCATAGTTGGTCGAATCTGGGCTTTGCAGAGTGTCAGCAATTGGCTTGGTGTGTACAGATGTCTTGTACGAAATAGCCCCAGCTTTTGGGACGCCCTTTTAGCAATATCTGCCACGTGACTGTGCCAAGACATGTTGGTCTCTGCAGTAACCCCCAAGATGTTCAACTGACTCTGTAATGTGACAGCACTTCCAGATAGCATGATGTTTGGCTCACCGGTGCTGGTCTTTTTTGAAAACAGAGCTGCTTGGGTTTTCTGCGCGTTGAACTATACAAGGTTTTTGTTACCCCAGTCCTCTATTATCTCCAGGTCGTTATTTATCTGCGATATTTGAGTTAGTCTAAGATGATGGAATTCACGTGCGGAAAGACCTGTGGGTGGTATGAGTGAGGAGACTACATTGCCATCGTCTGCAAAGCAATAAAGTGGATTTACTGTTTTATCTATGAGGTCATTTATGTAAATCAGAAAAAGAGTTGGCGAAAGGATTGCTCCCTGTGGCACACCAGCATTTATTTGGTAAGAGTTGGAGTTCTGGCCATCCAGTGCAACATAAATGGATCTGTCCTTTAGGTAACTTTCAAACCAAGTGCAAAGTTTCGGCGATAATCCCATTGCTTTGAGCTTGTTGAGCAGATTTTCATGCCAAACTTTGTCGAATGCTTTAGATATATCTAAGGCAATTGTTCTTGTTTCACTCCGCAACTTAATCGCTTTTTGCCATAAGTGAGTGACGTATGTGAGTAAATCGCCAGTTGACCTATATTTTCGAAATCCGTATTGCTTATCGTTGATAATTTTGTTCTTTTCCAAGTACTTGGTTAGGTGATTGTTCACAACTCTTTCCATTACTTTTGATATCACCGGAAGTAGAGCAATTGGTCTATAGTTTAACGGATCTGTCTTTTTTCCTTTCTTTGGAATGGGTTGTACTGCGGCAGACTTCCATGATGATGGATATACTCCTTGCCTGTAAG